AAAACTCACTGATGTGATCGAGCGTGCCGGTGCAGAAGCGCCCGTAAAACTTCTTGGCGCCCAGCGCCCGGAGGTCGTGGATGGTGAAGGGCCAGAGGTGGAGGACGTTGTTGCGGGAGAAGGAATCCCGCTTCTCCAGCAGCACCACGCGGGCACCCAGCAGCGCCAGCTCGATGGCCGCCCGCAGCCCACACGGACCAGCCCCCACCACCAGGCACTGCAAAGGGCACGAGCACCCCCCCCAAGAGTAAATTTGGGTAAATCCTTGGGGAGCTCAGCACCGCCACAGGCAGCATCTCCCCCCCCTTCCCCAATTCCTCACTATTCCCTCTTCCCCCCCGGGGCTGAAGGCACTGCTGCTCCTTGCAAAGCGGAGAGGGGGCCCTGCGGGGTGTCCCCCACCTCCCTGGCTGCCTGGACCTTGCCTTCACATGGGGCAATGGCAGCAATTAAGCGCTCAGGGAGATAAGGCACGCACGTCTCCTGCGTGCCGCGGCCTGGAAACGGGGAGTGGGGAGATTTCACCAGCAACGGGCTCAAAACCAGGAGGTGGGTGTGATCTGCCCCACCCTGCACAGGGCACCAGCAGTGGGGATAAAAGCCATCAGCTCTGGGACAGAAAGAGGGTCCCCCAGCCCCAGGGGGATGTCCTGCATGCTGCTCTCCCCCAGCAACGGCACTGCAAAGTCGCTCTGCCCCTTTGCAGCCACCCCATGGGTTGTCCCCAGCGAGGAGCAGACAGAAAGAGGAAGGACGCTGTTGGCTGGGTGGCACCGGGGTGGCATCACGGCATGGGGAGAGGAGTGGTGTTAATTAACACCCTGTCCCATTAAACCCCATCACCCGACATATCCTGCATCCTCCCAGGGGATGCTCTCACCCTGGGGACAAGGACGCAGGGCAAGGAGGGACCCAAACCCCACGCACCGTATCCCCGGTACCTTGGTGCTGGCACAGGCTGTGCCCTGGTCGTAGTCCTTGTGCCCGGCTTTCTTATCCAGCTTGCTCCAGAGGGCCTTGGCACTCCAGTAGTTGAGGGCAGCCTTGAGGCCATGGTAGAGCTGCAGCCCGTGGCCCTGCAGCCCCAGCTGCTGGCACAGCTCCCCGAAGCAGCCCAGCACCTCCCGGCACTCGCCCGCACGCAGGAACCTCTCGAAGACGGCATGGGCAGGGTTGCCCGGCTCACCGGCCGGCACGCTCATCCCACGTCACCTGGCAGCCTGGCGAGGGACAGCAGAGGTAAGTGCGGGGGGACACCCTCCTGGACCCCCATCCTCAAACCCGTCCGATACCAGACCTGGTGTTTCAGCGCACGGTTTCCCAGATGAGGTGTCGTCGGGTGATGGTGCTAATGGAATCGGGGCCCTTTCCAGCCGTGGCTGGCAAAACCTCCCCCGGGTGCTGCACCCAGCAAGCCACAGTGTCACCCTGCCGCGGTGACGTCAGGGGAGGGGACAGGGAGGGCTGCGGTGGCAGCAAGCGGCTTCCTCCATATGTTGTGTACCTGCGGCAGCCAAGCAGAGCGAGGTGGTTTGGAGCAAAGACGCTGCTGCTTCCTTCCTCTTCACCCTCAGCCTCACTGGGGGAGGGAGGGGGAAGGGGGTCCTGGCTGAAGTTGCCCCAAAAAACAGCAAAACCCAGCCCTGGGACAGGGGGAAGCAAGGGCGGATCCATCCCACCAGTCTGGCTTTTGCAACTGCAATGGGGTGACCTCCCCCCCTCCAACCTCCGTCTCTGCCACCCCTGGAGCGGGGCGGAAGTAGATTAGCACAGAGGAAGCAACGGTGGGGAAACCGAGAAAAGTCAAACCACCGTATGAACAGCCCTGTCACGCCACGAGGGAGGAGGGGTGCAGCGCATCCCCCTGCGAGCACCCCAAACCCCCCCCCGCTCCTGGCATCTCCCGGGGAAGCATCACTCCTTGCATCTGCCTCCCGCTCCTGGCACCGTCCCCCCAGCACCGTCCCACACCCCCAGCTCTCTCTTGCCAGCCCAAGCGCGAAGCTTTGCCCTTGTCAGCCGTTGTCACCGAGCCCCGGGGCTGGGGAAAGGGGCTGGGAAACCCTCTCCCAGCCCCGCAAAGCAGCTGGCGGAGATGTGGCGCTGCCAAGGAGGAACCGGTAGAAAGGCTCGGGAAACCGGAGCGCTCCTACCTTTGAACCATCGCCCTTTGCCCTCTTGCCGCCGGGCACACAGTGACACCTTGAAGGTGGCAGCCAGCCCTGTGGCTTTGCAGTGGGAGGCTGGAGGGGGAAGGACGCTGCATCCGAGCCAAGCTGTCCTCCGTGGGGCAGGGGAAAGGAGGTGTTTGAGCCCAGGCTTAAATTTGGGCTGGAAAGCCTACATTCTAGCTGGGTTTTCAAGTTTAGTCTCACTCCAGTGGCTTCCCAACACCGGCACAGCATTTTGCAAGGCCAGCTGGAGCCACGGGGGATGCAAACTCTTCTGCAGGTCCCCTTCCCTCCCTAACACCACAGCCAGGAAATCCTAGCGTTTAAATCCCTTCCTTCCTGGGCAGACACGAGGATAAAGCATCCAGCCTGGCCAGAATGGTAGAGGCACCCACTGATGCATTTGTGGCAGAGCCGAGACCCAGGGACAGATTCCTGCTCTTCCCCAGAGCAGTGCCAGCCCTCTGGGGAGCGTGGGGAAACTGAGGCAGCACTGCAAAGCTCATTGGAGACGCTGCCCAGGAGGCTGCCCGGGCAGCCATGGTGCCTTGCCGAGCTCCAGCATCCCGTGCTGCCCGGGCACGCTGGGTTTTCCCCTCCAGGAGCTCCCGTTACCCGCTGGCACTTGCCAAGACCATCAGGCAGCTGCCCCAGGGCGACAGGGCAAAGGCAGCCGCCTGGGCTGGAGCATTTGCTCCAGCACCACCAGCCTCTGGCTCCAAAAAAGAACTATCACAAGGCCTTGATTCCCACCAGACTCCATGCCGGGGGGGGAACACCGCCCGGGAAAGCTTTCCAGCACCAGCACTTTGGCAGGGCGGCTCAGAGGAGGCAGAACAACAAGCCTTGTGTTACACCAAGTTTCCTATGGAAAAGATGCTTGTGCCGGCACACCACGTCCACTTCGGCATGCTCAACCCCCCCCAACAATTGCAAGCGAGGACAGAAACCCTCCACGGGTACTTAGTTCCTGCAGGTTTGATGCAAATAACCAGCTTTCAGCCCACTGAGGCAGTGCCAGGGAAGGAGGGCACAGCCCCGAGCCAGGCTGCTCTGTCTCTGTGTTCCCCCCAAACACCTTCTGCCGGGGGGTTGCGGCCGGCCCTGACGCAGCCCGTGAAGGCTCCGGCTGGGGGGGCTGTGCAGACGTCCAGCCTACAGGGATGTTGCTCAGGACCGGCACATGTGGAGCATCCCCGGAGCAGGGACATCCCAGCTTTGCAGGCTGGGGGGCTCCCCCTTGGATGGAGAAGCAGCCCCTTGGGAGATGGCGGAGGGAGCTGCTCCGGGGATGCTGAGGAGCTCACGCGTCTCCCAGGCATGTGGAAATGGGGTGGGAGAGGACACAGCTCCATACGGAGCTAAGGAAAGCCGTGAGGATTCCCAGCAGCAGCAGATCCTCCTCCTGCTGAGCCTCTTGCCTCGCTGCTGCGCCTGCTCCAATGGACCAGCCTGCTCTGGGTTTGGGATCCCACCTGGAGACACCCCCGGGCCAGGCTGCTGAGCCAGGCTGGACCCTGGGAAAGTCCTTCCAGCAACTTCAGGGATGGCCCAAAGGCTGGCGGGCAGGATGGAGGATTTCTTGTGGCCAAGCAACAGCCCTCCGGAGAAACATCCCAGGCGTGGGACCGGGCAGGGAGATCGCCTTGGCCCCATGGAATGCCCTAATTTGGCTGGGTTTTAATCCTTGGAGGGGAGGGGAAAAATCCCTGTCAGCTCTCCCGGCTTGAGCCAGGGATGTGGGAGCCTGGGCACCCCCAGGCTGAGCGCCCCCTCAGCAAGCCCCCAGCGCAGGGCTGTGGGGAGAAGGGCTAAGGAGGGGGAACAGACCTGCCACCAGCACTGGCGAGGGCAGGGGATGGCAGCTGCAGGGCCGGGGGTGTCGTGGGAGAGGGCATGGGTCCCTCTCAGGGGTGCAAAGGGCATGCCAAAATCCCCCCCTGGGAGATGCAGGATCCGGCCTCGGCTCCTGCAGCTGCTGGCAGCGGAAGTGGGCGCTTCTCTGGGGCAT